ATATTCTTGCTGCCACGCCATCTTGGCTTGATGGACCACACCCCCAACTGTGAGCCAAAGTCAATCCTGCCTCCCTTAAGTTACTTTTGCCACAGTAAGGACACAAGAAACTAATACAGGTGACTCGTGTCCTCTGTGATCTACCAAGGCCTTGCAAGGACACGTTGATAGTCAACAATTAAGAACAAGTCTGGATCCTCGTTTGTGTCCTCCAAATACTTTATCACTGCCTTGTTCCTTACACCTTTCTCTGAGCCACAAGAACACACTCTCAGAGTTCACATTTGTGTGTGTGTGTGTGTGTGTGTGTGTGTGTGTGTGTGTGTGTGTGTGTGTAGCTGGTTTCTAGTAATAAGACACTGTTGTGAATACTTCTGGTCTATCATTAAATCACTGAAGCACCCCACAGTGTTATATGATGGGCCGCACTGCTATCTCTGTGGTAAGATGAAGACATGGACATGCCAAAGACTTAGGGGACTTGTCTCTGGTGCACATAACTGTCCAGCCTTTGCCTTCTGCCCTATCTGTCTCTGTGACTCTGTTTCAGACTTCTTCTGCTTCTTCCCCACCTACCACAACTATCACCACATGAATTACAGATGCTTAAACCTTCCAGAGCTCTGTGGAGTCCACCCAGTTCCCTGACTGGACACCCAGGGGCTCTGTCACACACCCCTGACCAACTTTAGAGCTGATTTTCACTAAGCTGGAAAGAGAGCCAGCCTCCATCTTTAAGCTTTCCCTACAAGTGGCTTCCCTTTAGCCATTCACTGGTTACCCCCTCTTCAATGCTCTTGTCTAACCACCCACCACCTCCACTTTGCCCTTGAAAGATTCAGCTCTTTCTTAGAGAATCAGCGTAAGCATTCCTTCCTCCAAAATCCTTCCCTGACTTCTGCAGATCTCACCAAAGTCACGCTCACGTCACCACACGGGGCACATTACTACAACCACTGCAAGATGACCGTCTCTAGAGAGGACGGACTGTAGTGCTAGATTTGGGGTTTGGTTTTTTGTTTGTTTACAGCTCTCCCATGCCTGGAACATTCTAGGCTTGGAAAATCAGTTAATAGAGAGTGTGAGAGGCCAAACAGCAGAAACCTAAGTCAGCTATAGATTCTGATGCGGCATAACCCCCCATACTACAAGATGTTTATTTGTTAGCTGCAGAAAAAACCTGAACTTTGGCAAGTGCAGAACATTTATAGTCAGCCCACCTTTCCCGCATATCAGCTGAGGTTGGAACGTGTGTGTCCAGTATTTCTTTTGTTGCTCATACTTTACTAGAAAATTCATGCTAATATTTATCTTATTTTTTGAATAAAAATTATTAATCATCTTCTCCAAAGTTAAGCTTTATCCAACCAAGTGCAAACATCACCCGGCCCTGGAACTGCTTTTGTAGTTAAGTGTGTGGCCCTTCTCTTTGGAGTCTGTTGAGAGCCTGATGGGGCAGTGTAGGAGAGACTGTCTGCTTAGCTGAGTGGAAACTCAAAGGGATGTGTCTGGACCCACCTACCAATAATCATTCTGAAATAACAGTTCGTGACCCCATTGTCCAAAGCCTTCCTCTTAGGAAGTACAGGAAAACAGACTAATGCAGACCAGCCCTCGATGATCTCTCTCTTCCTTTTAAAGACCACATGAAACAAAATTCTCTGGAATATTAACAACAAAATAGTTTCCCACCCTCTTGCTGAAAGAATTTCAGTTTAGAAGAAAATCTCTAAGTAGCATTCTCTGAAGAAAAAAAAAAAGAGCTGACTTCAGTTTTATACATATTGATATGTGCATGTAGTGTGTTCTAAACTACCCTGCACTGTCTTTCCTGGCTCCGTAGTGGGCTAAGGTGCTCGCTTCTACCACAGCTGCCTTGGAAAATAACATTCTTAAAACTACAAAGTGGATGGATATTTGTCTATAAACCGAAACTCAAAACCTTCCTTTTTTCCCAAAGAGAAGGTCCACTATCGTTACACAGGCAAAACTATTAAACCAAGGAATGTTGTATGCTGCTCCAAACAAGAGCTGAAATGCTTAAAGCTAAATGTTTAGTTTAGCAGAAAAAAATCTAAGGTCCAGGAACAAGTACTGCTGGGCATTCTGGTGAAGCCAGCTTCATAGGTTGTTTCTCTGTCTTTGGTCTATATCCCACAGAAACGAGGAAGCCATGACTCCAGAAACATTTTTCATGGCTAGTTCATCAAGTCAATCCAGGCAGAAAAGAAAGAAAACACTCAGCAAGGAACATAGTCAAGTGAGTAGAGCTAAGGATCTCATTCACTTAGAGCCATAAGCATCCCTACTTGTGTCCAGGGGACTTTCCCAAGGCTTATGTCACACATCTTTGTGATACTTTTCTCTGACCCATTGTGATTTGAATCTGACACATCTTCCAGAGGCTTGGTTTTTTTTTGGGGGGGGGGAGGAGAGAATAAAGTCTCATGTAGCCTAGGATGACATTGAACCCACTTAATGTAACAAAGGCTGGCTTTGAACTCATGATCTTTCTGCCTCTACCTCCCAAGAGCTGGGATTATAGGAGTGCACCACCATATGCAGGCAGGCTCATGTCTTAAATACTCAGTCCCCAATTAGTAGAGCTATTTTAAAGACCTTGGAGACTTTTTAAATGTGGAGCCTGGCTAGTGGAAGCAAGGTCAGAGGTCATATATGTATATATGTATTTATATCCTGGTTTTGACCCGAGCTGCTTGACAAGCTTCCACAGAGCTTCTCTCCTGCTTCCACAGAGCTGTTTCTGCCACTATGGCCTGCTGCCATGATGGACAAATCATAAGTTTGTTTCTGTGGGGCATCCTGTCACAGCACTGAGAAGAGTCTCTACTCCATCACCCCATGATAGGACTACTTTATACCAGACAGATACATAGATGCATTCTCACACATAAGTCAAGATATCACAAGCCCATCCTTGAAGAGAAATGTTGTCCATTTCATAGCCAAGAAACTATAGGAGGCTGGCATGGTCTTTGATATGCAACCATGGGTGGATGCCAATGGAAAGTCATATGTCCCTTCTGTCAGAGGCAAGGGAAATTATTCTTTTGGGCAGACGGGAACTCATTCCACAAGTTCCTGGGTATGCAGACTGTTATCTAACTGCCAGAAATCCGTCTATAGTCCATCTTGAGATAGGCCAAGGTGGTCATTTCTGGACATATACACTACATGAAATCCAACAGACAGTACTCGGGAGTTGAACAGAGGGTCTCGCTTATGCTAAGCAAGCAGGACTGAACCATATTGCCCACTCTTAATGAGCATTCTGAGCTACAGGAAGAGAGGCTGTTGGGTGCTTAGGGTCTGGAAGTGGACTGAAGAAAAATAACAAACTTGTCCTAGTATAGAGGAGTGGTGTGAAAGGTCCTTCTGTCTATGTGTTGCTTTTATTGACTAATGAATAAAGAAACTGGTTTGGTCTATAGCAAGGTAGAACTTAGGCAGGGAAAACTAAACTGAATGCTGGGAAAAAGAAGGCAGAGCCAGAGAGAAGCCATGTAGCCCCACCGGAAACAGATGCCGTAACTTTACCTGGTAAGCCACAGCCACAGCCACGTGGTGATACACAGATTAATGGAGATGGGTTAAAATAATATGTAAGAGTTAGCCAATGAGAAGCTAGAGCTAATGGGCCAAGCAGTGATTTAAATAATATAGTTTCTGTGTGGTTATTTCGGTGCTGGGTGGCCAAGACAAACAGCCACCTATTACAGAGGAGACCATCTGTAGTCCCCTCTTTCTGGGCAAGGGGTCAGACCCTTAGTATCTTTGCTTAGTGAGATCTTTCCTGAGCTGATAAGGGGTTGTTAGAGGGAACAGCCTCAGCCTGTATAGTATTTTCAATGTATACGCAATTTTCCTAAAAGACAGTTATCATTTCTGTATTCAGAGTTTGAGTAACCAACTTAAAATATACCAAGGAAACCAATTTGGAATGGGCTATTTCGACCTCCCTGACAGATCTTCATTTTAAGTGATGTTCATGTTAGTGCTTGGAAGACAGTCACCGTCCATTTGTAAAGAAGGTTAAGGCAACAAAATGAAAGTATGAGGGACCACAAGGTCTAGGAGACAGGAAATGGGCATTCTCCACCTGGCTGGGAGGCATGGTGGCAGTAGTGTGATGGGGACTGGTCTCATTGTACCCATTCTCAGGAAGCAGAGAGCATAAAGGGAGTGGCGCCCAACTATCAAAATGGACCTTAAGTCACTAACTTCCTCTAACTAGGCTCTGCCTCATGGCTCAATTCCCAGATGGGGATCGAGTGTTCAATCACATTAATCTATAGGGAACACTTCACATTAACAGATCTAATGCAAGATGTTTATTGGGGGAGGAGGAGGGTAAAAGACAGTCTTGGAACGGAGACGTGAGAAAGACAGACAGATTGAGAGACTAGGAGACAGAACAAAACGGGGAGGACCTTTAAGGGGGCGCGAGTGGGTTTGTAACTCCACCCGCGACCCCTAGTGATGCAAATACGCTGCTCCAGGAGCTGGCAGGGCGCCAAACCCACAACAGTTACTATTATAATTGCTGCCTGCTCAGGTCAGTTGTTTTGTTTTTGTTTTTATGGTGGTCCTTGGGATAAACCCAGAGCCTTGGGCATGCTAGGCAAGCACATTCACCCGTAACTTCACCTCCAAGCCCAGCTTTGTCAGCTGAAGGGTTATTTTTCAGAGTGACTCCCATGTCTTCTGTGAGGGACAGAATTCCTACCTTGTCTTGGTGTTGTGTACACTAGACCAGATGGACAGTCTTTCTAGAGGGGTGTGAATGGGATATGCAGGGACAGCTGACATCAAAGATAACTCCCACACTCAAGAAGGAGAGAATTCGGTTAGTGGAATACAGTGGGGAACTCAGGTCCAGTAATAGGACTGGAGCAGACCCCCCCATGACCTCCAAGGAGAAAGAAAGAACACCTGCTCAGTATACCAGTTGAGAATCTTTTATAGGCTCTGTGAATGCTGCTGGGTCTCTGTGAGAAGCGATGAGGACAATAACTGCTCGTTAACCTGTTAATAAAAAACATCCATAGCTTGGGGTTATCATGCGTTGACCTCACTAGGCCACAGAATGATGGGGAATTTGGCAAAACATGATTTTGGGGTATGCTCGTCAGAGTGTTTCCAGGAAAGGGTGTATTTACCTGTAACAGGCTTTCTTTTGGGTCACCAAACAGCTCCCAAATAAAAACAGAGACTTATTAGTTATGAATGTTTGGCCTTATCTTATGCTTGTCCCACTAGCTCTTATAACAATTTAACCTGTTTCTCTTCATCAATATGAAGAGGCTTTTTGCCTCTTTCATTCTGTCTGTCCCTGTTCCCTTTCCTCTATTGTCTGGCTAGCTAGTGGCTGGCTGGTTGGCCCTGAGTGCCTTCCTCTCTTTCTTCCTCATTCTTGTCTCTCTTGAGCTGAGATTCCTCCCCCTATTTATTCTCTCTGCCCGCCAGCCCCATCTACTCCTCTTCCGCCTAGCTATTGGCCGATCAACTTATTAGACCAAGCAGGTGCACTAGTGTGTGAAACAGCATCCCATCTTTACATCATTAAACAAATGCAGCATAAACGGATATAACACACCTTTAAATCGATAAAATAATATTCTGCCACATAAACAAGTGTAACACATCTTTATATAGCTAAAGCAATATTCTATTCTACAACATCTACCATAGAATAAAAGGGTCCCTTTTGCAGGCTTCTGGTCTCATGGGTACCAGAATTTAAAAATGAACACAAAAGGAAAACCCAAGAAAATTTTTATTGGCCTTTGAGAGTACAAACACTAGAGTAGGCAAGCTAAACACCTGAGCAGCTGGGAGAACACGGATGGCTTAGTTAGGGTTTATTATTGCTGTGAAGAGACACCGTGACCTCAGCAGCTCTGAATATAGAAAACATTTCATTGGGGCTGACTTACAATTCAGAGGTTTAGTCCACTGTCAACATGGTGGGAAACATGGTGGCCTGCAGGCAGACATGGTGCTGGAGAGGTGGCTGAGAGAGCTCCATCTGGATGCACAGGCAGCAGGAAGAGATAATGACACAGTAGGACTGAGCATCTGAGACCTCAAGTCCCACCCCCAGTGGCACACTTCCTCCAAAAATGCTATAGCTCCTAAAAGTATCACACCCTATGAGCCCTCAGGGGCCATTTTTATTTAAACCACCACAGTGGACTTTGAGTAAAAGTCAAAAAGGCCAGTAAGCTCAGGAATAAAATCTGCATGCAACCTCCTGGAGTGGGTTTGAGGGGATGGGGGGTAAGGGTAAGTGGTGGAGTTTGGGGGTGGGCTCTTCTTTAGAGAGAGTGAGAATTCCTAGAGCATCCGGACAAGCAGGCTTAGGATTCTAGCTAGTATTGGGGGTTAGAAAGAGGGGAAAGAGAAAATGTTAGAGAGAGAGAAAGAGAGAGAGAGAGAGAGAGAGAGAGAGAGAGAGAGAGAGAGAGAGAGAGAGAGAGAGAGAGATGTTGCTTTTTCTGAGCTAGAACTCAGACAGGAGCAGGGAGTCCTAGCTGTAACAGTCTGTGAGCAGCAGGGTGGCAATGACGGGAGCCGTTTGCGCAGGAAGTGGGTGGTGTATCAGACAAGCTCTGTGAGCAGCCGAGACAAGAGAGGGACTTCTGGGTCGTAAATTCATTAAGGGCTTAGGTTTGTTCTTCACGCTTCTCTTTCTGCGCAGGGGCACCGAGATCTTGACTAAGGGCACAAGGTGTGTTCAGCCGCTGTGTGCTGTGTACAGGACCACGGCGATCAATATGGACGGCATGAGATGACGTGGGGTGCTATGACATCTATGCCTTGCAATATGGTTTCTATATAGGGAACCACAGCATCTGCAGTGTGAACTGTGAGCTGAATCTGGGGTGGGGGGTGAGGGGGGCTCATAAGTACTTACGGTGGTTCCAAACGCATACAGTGCTTCTTGAAGTCTTTCCTGGGTGCATTTCCCAATCTATTGGGTCCTGTCGTTCTATTCACAACCTGACGACAACCACAAAATGACAGCTATAATTTGTATTATGAGATGGATACACACGCAGGAAGATCTTTGTGTGGACCATGATGCACCAGGAAAAAGAACAACCATAATATGAGATGAATGGATGGTACCACAGTTCCCAAGGAGGGAATTATATGTCTCATTCTGATGCACAGTCATCTATAAATGGTCCAATTTTAGGCACAGAAATGGAATTATCTATTATACACAAGAGTGCTGTCAAGACATAGATGCACCATAGGCTCTATGCAGGGCAATGTGAGCCCAATATGTTGTAACATGGCACCTATGGAGAACACTGTAGCCTCTAGGGCAGGAAATATGAATTATGTACAGCGGAGAATGGCTTATACAGTATCGATCAGGAGATGCATGTAGGGCATCACGTGTGCTCTACAGGACAACATGACATCACTCAGAGAAGCATGATGATACATAATGGGAACTATTATGGCTACAAAATGTGCTGCAGGAGCACTATACAAGACAGCATGAGCTCAATAAATTTGCACTATGATGTTCCCTGCTCAGGAGTACTATGATCTCCATAAAGGGCATTATGAACTCTACACAGTGTGTTGTGAGCTATAAGCCAGGCAATACAAGCTCTAAACAGGTCACTGAAGCCAATATACATGGCATTATGAGTTTAATAAATAGCTTTATGACCTCTATAATGAGATGGCTAGAAGTGTAGTATGGGACCTCGGAGGCCACTGTGAGCTGCTGTTACAACAGCTCCATGAGATGTACAGAGGGGACTGTGGAGTCTATGGTTTATCCTGTCCCTCTAGGATCACACATCACGACAGCATGTGAGTTCCCACACATGCTGCGAACCCTACACATGGCCAGGTGAGCTCCAGTGCATGCGCTGTGAGTTCTTCGCTGGGCACTTGGGCTCTATAGATGCCTCTGTGAGTTCATATATAGCATATCCTCGGATGGTGAGCACTGGGAATGATCCAGTGCACTATGAGCTCAACACAGAATTCAGACATATACACAGGGCACTATAAGTTGTGACCATAGCATCCGGAACTCTACACAGGCACACTATGATCTCCATATTTTCAAAACAGCGCTATGACTTCAATGAAGATGCAGTATGAGCTCCAAACAGACTGCTCTGAGTCTAATATATGGCCTATGGGAGCAGCACAGATTCACTGTGAGGTCTATACAGGCCACTACAAGCTCTGCACAGGGCTATGTGAACTAATGTACATTGGGTGTATTGTGGTTATGAGTGGCTATGAACAGTGCACTGATAACTCTATGTATTTGCAATATGGTCTCGAAAGATATCCTATAAACTGTTTATTTAGGTGGACCTAAACTCTTTAGGTGGTTGCAGGGGCCCTGGAGCTCCGGGAGCTCTGAGCATCACAGCACGCACGCACACACACACACACACACACACACACACACACTGTACTCCATGCATGTATAACATGATCTCAGTGCACGGCCTCAGCACAATGGAGTTCCACTGTGGGTTCAAACACTATGAGCTCTATATAGGGCACTTTGAACTTACTGAAACTGTTGTGAGTGCCACATACGTGCACTTTGAGCTACAGATTTTCATGGTGGGGGTCTGCCTATTAGAATCTTCATACAGGTCTTTGGTCTTTGGATACATAAACACGATTTTAATTTTGTTTCTTCTTATTGCTGTCAATCAACCCTTAGACCATCATATAGCAATCTAACTCAGTCTCTCTGAGTTCTGAAACCTAGAGGTCAGTTAGTGTGAAGACCTTAGTTTTAAGGTCTGTATTTCATATCACTTTTAAGTGGCCAGATGCATTCAGTACCTGTGGTGAATGAGAACGGCCCCCACAGGCTCATGTATTTCAACGCTTGTTCCCAGAGGCAGTGAAACTCTTTGGAAAGAATTAGGAGGTTTGGCCTTGTTGGATGAGGCGTGTCATTGGGGGTGGGCTTTGAGATTTTCCAAATGCCCATGCCATTCCCATTTGGCTCTCTCTCTCTCTCTGCATTGTGGTTGTGGTTTCATGATGGAAGCTCTAATCTGCTGTGAAAGCTGACTGCCGGCTGCCATAGTAGCACCATGATCGTCATGGACTCACCCTCGGAAACTGTGAGTCCCCAATAAACTCTTCTTAAAGTTGCCTTGGGCTTGTTGTCTCTTCACAGCAATAGAACAGTAACTAAGAGTTAAGTTACTAACCCTTACACATTTTAAGGTTTCCACTTTTGAGTGGGATCTGTTAGACCAGCTATTAGACAGCTTGACCGTTATTGAGGATAGACCCCCTCCTCACTGGTAGATTGTAAAACAAACGCCTGAAACTGTGGAACTTCAGTTACTTGTCAAAAGATAGAATTCATCATTGACCTTAGTGAATACATGACATTCTAAATGCCCCCAAAGATCACAAGGTTACTATCTAGCTGGGAACTTTCTGGTAAAGAATGAAGATATACCATTATCCCCTCAAAAACATACCACTGTCTCCTCCCTTAGGAGTTAGTCCAAGTGGAGCTACTGGTGAAGTGGACAAGAAAACACCCTCGGGAAGCTGCCTTTTCATAAGCAGTCTGGCACAATGGTCTCTGGCTACTGTCTACTCTTTCTCGTGACAGTGTTTCCCGCTGCCGTGGACTCTTTAGCTACTATTGTCCACTACTGTCTTGCCTTGAGTGCATCCCATTTCCTCTGAAATAAACTTAGTCTTCTACACTACACTCTGTGTCTTGTCTGAACACTTTTGATGAAGGTTGCAATGACTGGGGAGCTAGCTGAGGGGAGGCCAGAGGGAGGTCCCAGGAACGACTGTTCTAGTGTGTTGGAGAAGTTCATAGGCCTGTTTCTGTGATGCAGTGCTGATCCACCCATGTGTTCATAGATGACAATATTTTATTTGCATAAACAAGCCATTTGTCAGGCTTTGCTTTGTGGTTTGTGCTGGACAGATGGCGGTTGCTTAATTGCACAAATGAGAGACACATTCGTCCTCTCCTCAAGCTTGCACTGGAAATGGAGCTGTGGTGAGCATACTGTGTCAGAACCATTGGTGACACATTTGTGTCTTTCCTCAGTGTCAGAATGTATCGAATAGCAATGAGTTCCCAGGCTACATTAGCTTCATTGGCAGCCATTTGCCAAGCCGTCCTGCTTTCTCTTGATAGCTGGGAAAGGAAAATGCAAAGTCTTTTATTCTAGTGCTGACTGTTAATATTAACTCCTACATTACACACCGCACAGTAAACACCACACACACACACACACACACACACATATACAAACACACACAAACACACATGCACACACAGGTTAAGGGTGGCTAAATAGGACCACAGCAGAGTGCAAGGAGTTTCAAAGGGGCCTGGTTGAGAGGCAGAAGCTGAGGGTGATAGGGATATTAAAAGAATGTCTGCTGGGGTCGGATAACGAATTCTGCTGGAGGCACTGCTGCAGAGGGAAGGTCCAAGGTCAGAGTTTAATTGAGTTTAGGGTTAACTAGAGCTGCCAAAGCCAGGTATAGGATCCCGGAGACCACAGAGGCAAAGGTCCAGACTAGGTCTAGACAGATAAATGCATGGACGGCAGCTCCCAGTAGACTAACAGCTTGTGGGTGGATGGCAATTCCAGCAGTGTTAAAATACGAGCGGTGGGGCTGTGTCCCCGGCACCCGGCCGCCCGCATGGCTAGCTTATGCCCTGAAATAATTACATGGAAACTGTATTCTTTTAAACACTGCTTGGCCCATTAGTTTCAGCCTCTTATTGGCTAGCTCTTACATATTGATCTAACCCATTTTTAATAATCTGTGTAGCCCACGAGGTGGCTTACCAGGGAAGATCTTAACCTGCGTCTGTCTGGAGTGGGAAAATCATGGTGACTCCTGACTCGGCTTTCTTTCTCCCAGCATTCTGTTCTGTTACTCCACCCACCTAAGGGTTGGCCTATCAAATGGGCCTAGGCAGTTTCTTTATTAATTAACCAATGAAAGCAACAGATTAGAAAGAAATCACTCCCACATCACAGCAGGTCACATCACCACTGGAGACTGAGCCCAGTTGAAGTCCTGGGGGAGTTCTCTGCCTGGCAGTGCCTTGACTCATATCTTTGGGGGGCAGGTTGATGGGAACTATCACCATCACAGTTGTTGGGCTCCTGGGATTGCATCCTTTCCTCAGGCTGGTATGTTGGATAAGTTCTTGGTCTGTTTTTCCTGATAGGGTTTTACTATGTCTACGTGCTCCTACAGCACCCATTCACTCTGATAAATTAAAGTGTAGCACTCTTTCTACTTTCGCAAGTAAGTCTTCTATCATAGTCTGTGCCTCACGGGTAGTGCCAGACAGATGATGTTTATATGTCCACCAAGGTGCAGAGACAACAGGCATAGCCCAAGAAACCATTGTCTTATACAGTATGATAGAACTCCACTTCGAGTACAGCTTTCAAGGCGTGCAAACTAGAATCCAAGGGGAAGGCACAGTTGAAAACACTGTTCCACGCTCCATGAAATAACTCTGAGCGGAGCCACGTCTGACCTCTTCACTGCCCCACTCACCTCCCACTCGGGGAATTCTTGAGCAGCCATAGAAACCTCACTGGCTGTCTTCTGAAGCATGTCATTGTTTTTCTCACTTGACCCTGACATCACAGTGAAATTCCTGTCTGGGGCTTGAAGTCCCATCTGTAGCAGTCAGTTCCGTCTGTCTCCATCCTGGCCTCTTTGGCGGAACTAAGTGGGCTGCCCGCTTTGGCCTAATGACTGGAATCATCTCCTTCCCACACCGTCATTAGGATTAGGAAGGCCATCTAGACAGAGAGGACAGCACACTAATGGCCGCGCACATTGCTCTCACTCTCTCCTGGCCCAAGCTTTTCCCCAGGCAGCCCTCTCAGCTGGCCCTACTCTACCCACACTACTGCTACCAAGTCCTCTGAGCTGTGTTTCAGAAGGAAGGCATCGCCTACTGTACCAACTTTCTAAGTTCAGGCAATTCTTTGCAGGCCTTTTTCTAAGAGGATTTAGTTATACAAAATGCCTAAAAGGTTCTTTTATCATGTTAATACAACTTTTGTCATGGAAATCACATCCTGAGGTCCCTGAGAACAAAATTAACTTCCTGTTTAATTAGTCTTCC